GCCCCCCCCCCCCCCCCCCCCCCAGGATTCTGATCCCTGTTCCAAAGGCTGCCTTTGAGCCCGGCCTTCTGTGGAAAGAAGGCTTGTAAGACGAAGTGTCTGTGTTCGTCCCTCCCTCCATCTCTCCTTCACTGATGAATAACATTGAACACATTAACCGATTTTAGCCAAATGTGACAAAGCAATAGGTGTCTCCAGAATAAGTTCTTCCAGTTTGATGAAAAGGGTGACAGAGAAGAGGAGCAAGACCTTAGCAGTGCCCTGCTGCGCGGAAGAATGTAGCATGAGCTCACCTTCATGGAACATCAAAGAGCGAACACAAGGGAGTGATGTCAGAAATACCCCAAGGACAAGCTTTGCTCAGACCTCAGATTTTACTAGGCACCAAAGAATCAATCTCTGATGCACCAATCCATAGGAAAATATCAGGACCTTTATTTACAGGGCTTCTTGTGTGTTCTGCATTACTGGATTACAATGCAGAAACCAAGCCTTCCTCTGCCCAGGTGATCATCTAGAATGACTCATCCTCATGCTCATCCTCTCTTTGCTTTTCTCTGTATTGATTTCTTTTTTTTTTTTTTTAACGAAGTGGAACAGTTTCAGTAGCAAAATGCATTCAACTCGGAGTAATGATGATAGGTACAGTGCTTCAAGGCTGAGAACCAATCTTTGTATTTTTGGTAGGATTCAGTGTCAGCTGGAGAGGTGCCCTGTCCTGGCTGACGGCGTGGCCATATGAGCAGTGGTGGTAACTCAAGCCCAGCGGTGGGAACATACGGCTCAGGACAGCAGGGAGGTGGAGAGGGGGAAGAGCAGGGAAAATGCCAACCCATTCCTGAGCAGCACCCGTGGACTGAGAGGGTGCACCCTCAGTTCTCCACATGTCTCTGTGATTTTAAATCTAGTTCCTAGGAAGTTTTCCACTGCGTTCCCTAGATTAGATCACGTCACCTGAATTACTGTTATTTACGAGCATTGCTAAAGCAGTCATTAGCAGAACAATACATTTGAGTAACCGTGACTGAAAATGAGGGAGCGCAGAACTTCAACCCTAATGCCTGGGGGACTTCTCTCTGATCAGTAAACGTGCTAAATAAATAATAGAAGAAAAGCAGAGATTTTGATTTATTTTGCCCACCTGTTTTTCCTTTTGTGACACGCATTAGGGTGATTTTTCAAAAAAGAAATCACACTTGGTGACTTCTCTGAATACGCCCATAGAGTCTGCATGTTACCATATTTAAACCTCAACCACTTACAGCACATAGTAATTAGCATCATGTGAGTAATCGCTGAAGTCACGTTAATATGTTGATTCATGCCAGTTGGATGCCAGATCATACGTTACTTCCTGAAATATGCTACACATGTTCTAAAACATGCTCAGTATTTACATGGATATTGGGTAATTCTGATCAGATGTGGAAGGGCATGTCTTTAAAGAGAGTAAGCTACTGTCCTGCTGGGTTTCAGGTGCTTGGCGTAAGCTGCAGCAGTCAGGAGAATTTTCAGACCAATTATATGTTCCCATCACACATCAGTGGCCGATTTCACTG